ATATATATATATATATATATATATATATATATATGCAATAAATATTCACTGTCAGAAACAGAGTATATATGGAGAGATTTTATCTGTTTATAACAAAGTTGAAAAGCATTAGAGTAGTTTCTTCCATTCAGTTCACTGGTTCTGATCTACATTAACAAGATCTGATAGTGGAACAGAATCTGTTTTACTTTCAAAGTTAGCAAACATGTAAACAATTATATCTATTTTTGTAAAGGATGTTTGTTTTTTGTTTTTTTGTAGAATTCTAGTTTACTTTTCTATTTTACATTCAGAAATGTAAACAACATATAGCATGCTCTTAGAAAACGGGAAGTCAAGTGATCAGTTTGATTAAACGCGGTAGAGCTTTTTAATTCAGCCAAACCGGTTGGGGCTGGTTTGATATGCTGTGCAGTGTTAAGTTGATATGAACAATAAGTTGAGCTCTTGCAGTTGCACCGATCTACCAGGTGGAGTTCAGCTGACGCCGTCATTCAACGAAGGGGGAAGACAAAGGCGGACGCACAACACCGGCGGCGGGCGGAAGGAGAACGTTTCTGTTACGAGTTTGTCAGGAGATGCACATGGAGTCTCTGCACCGGTGGGCATAAAAAGTTAAACGCTGCGTGAATGGATTTATTTATTAAACATCACCGAATTAAACCCAGTTCAACGCGGGTTCTGGTATGTATTGCTTTGAATGATTGAAGAGGAAAAACGTGCACGCTGCTAACCTAACAAAGCTAGTTGGTTAGCATCGTGTTATCCGTCAAAACTGCATGGTCCAAGGTATATTTTTGTTTCTAGAATTCATTACTTTATCCTGTAGAGTTTAATTTAACTCTACAGCATTAAGAGTCGAAACAAGCGTAAAAAGTCATGTAATATTGTAGTGTACCAGTCTCTCTCGTGTGCTGTTGCATAGTTGAAGACATGGACTTAGGACAGGTTTCAAAGTGCCCGGATTTTTCACACTTCATCCTACAAACAAGTCACACTTAAGGTAGTGTGCGTTATGAGGAATTATTAATTCAATAAGTCGCCTTGTTCTTATTTCCAGATACTACATTAATTCAAACTGCTTTTCTTGTCGTCCGAACATTGAGTTAAGCAGAGAGTAGTTGTTCCAGGTATAAAGAAAGTTATGTTGATGTGCTCAGACACTAAATGATTCTGAAAATGGAAGCTGCTTAGTTTTTGTCGTATGCTTTAGTTTATAACTTGACGATATTGCCTTTCCAGTAGAATCATGGCGTAGGCCGCTTATAGATGCTGTGTCTGAATTCAGAACAGTTTTATGGTCGCAGAAGATCCTCATGGTACACTCAGGTTCACTTTGTACACGATGTGTTTTAAAATAACTAACACATTTACGTCGGTGTGCATCCAATATTATTTAACACTTTAAAAGTAATATTCAGTACCTTGACAATTTTAATGTTATTTGACTGTTTGATGTGATTTTAATTGATAAAAGCAGAATTTTCTAAAACGTCCCTAAGTAATGGTGATGCCTTTATATTTTAATTGACATTTTATACTACTGTGGTCAGCAGGAAACTGGATTTGTAGTGTTTTTGATGAACCACCAGTGGACACAAATTGTATGTCCACTCATTTACTCTTAGATTTTTATTTATTTATTATTTTTTTTTTTACCTTTTTACAAACTTTGGACTCAATATTATGACAGAACTCGATTAGAATAAAATCAGCAGATTAGGTAACATTTTCCTCTGGAGCCTGTTGAGTTACAATTAAGAAGATGCAAAGGTGCAAAAAA